ACGAAGCACGCTAGCATATGAGATGGTAAGGCCATAAGACAGACCCAAATCAGATTTTGTATTTACCTACAGTCTTGACCACCTTCTGAAAACATAAATCCATATAAATTCATTCTATTTCTTATGGAGCTGTTATTTTGGACCTGGCTGATATGTTTATGAATGAGTAGGAATAAACATGACATGTGACAATGCTGTATTTATACCCTCAGTAAATATGTACTCTCCTCTTTGGATAAGTTTTCTACTCCTCATTCTTCACCAGACATGAAGCTACTGGGGTGGGATGACAGTAAAGTTGGTATTGAAACTATGCCTTTTTGTCCGCCATAGTATCTATAAAATATGTCTCACTTTATCTTATGTTACTCTATGCCTTTAGGTCCCATATATGTTGAGGAAATGTTATTAGTTTCTAATTTCAGAAGTGTAGCCTCAAAGAGCTGTTTTGGTGAAACATTGTATGCTGCAGATATGTTTCCTGTATGTGTTTATTTGCATTTGGAGGACATAGGTGGACAATGGGCATCTTTCTCAGTTGCTAGCCACCTTATTTTTTGTCTCACTGAATTGGAAGCCCTGATTTGGCTACACTGGCTGGACAACATGCTCCAGGGATTGCTTTTTGCCCCCTCTTCCAGTACTGGATATAATAGCAGATTTTATTAGTGCTTTGGGGATCCACACATGCTTGAATGTCAAGCAGTTTTAGTGACACACCCTACAGAAAGAGCTCTTATTAGATAAATACACCTTTTCTTGGCTATAACTTTTTTATTTATTCTCTTTACATCTCAATCTTAGTGTTAGTCCCCTCTCTATATTCCTCTTGGTTCCTCCCCGCCCCCCCTTGTCTCTACCTTGCCTCTCAGAAAAGGCAGGTCCCTTCCCACAAACCCACCATAGCATATCCAGTCTCATCAGGATTGTATTTCTTCTTTCAGTGTCCTAGCAAGGCAGTCCCACCAGGGGGAAGTGACTGAAAAACATGTAACAGAGACCATTTCAGAGACAGGCCTTGATCTCCTTTCTGGGGGACCCACATGGAAGCTAAGCTGCCCATTGGATATATATGTGTAGGAGCCTACGTCTAGTCCATGCATGGTCTTTGGTTTGTGTTTCAGTCTCTGTAAGCCCCCGCTGAGCCCAGGTTAGTTGGGACTGTTGCTCTTCTTGTAAAGCTCCTGTGCCCTTCTATTCTTCCTGTCACAGCAAAGTACCATCAATAGTATCAGGGGTCAGCTCTTTTCCATGGAGGGGGTCTCAGGTTGGGCTAGGTATTCATTGTACATTCACTTGATCTCTGCTCTGTCTTTATCCCTGCACACCTTGTATGCAGGGTTTATTCTGGGTGGAAGTTTTTGTGGGTGGGTTGGTGTTCACATCCTTCAACTGGGAGCCCTGTTTGGGTAGAGGGTAGCCTGTTCAGTTTCCATGATACCTGCCACCAGGGGTCTCAGTTAGAGTCACCCCCATATCTTCGCAGGGGCCCACCCTGTTACAGGTTTCCAGGTTGTCTAAGAGATGATCCTGCCCATGGTTTCTCCTCTCTCTGAACGCCCTCTGTCCTCTCGGCCCTCCACCTCTTCTTTCCCCATATCTGATCACGCACATTTCCCTTAGTGTTCCCTTTCTTATCCTGTTCCTTCTCTCAATCATTTCTGATGATTTTTCTATTTCTCGTGAATGAGAATTAAGCATCCTCCCCTGGGTCCTCCTTGTCACTTAGTTTCTTTGGGTCTGTGGATTATCCTGTACGATATAGTTAATATCCGTTTATGAGTGAGTATATACCATTTGTTTTTTTCTAAGTCTTGGGTATAGCAGAGAGACCTTTTAATGCCCCAAATCAGTACATTGTTACCTAATTTAAATAAATAATTATTCCTCAAATGAGCCCAAATTCTAAGACACTATGATTGTATATTTCAATAATGACACCAATCAATAACTGCAATTTTTTATTATAGAAGCCAAACAATAATTCATTACAGAGTTTCTGATCAAACAATTAGTCTCAAAGATTAACTCAATACAAATTGAATATAAACAATTCAAACAGGAACATATCTTGCAACAAATCCAAAAGTACTTAAAAGATTCCATTGAGAGCATTTGCATTATTCTGTATCTTATAGAGACTTCTCAGATAAATGAATTGTGTTTTGGGTGTATTTGTGTGTGTGTGTGTGTGTGTGTGTGTGTGTCTGTGTCTGTGTGTGTACCTTTGCCTGTGTCATGTGTATGTGTGTGAGGGAAAGGGGAAAGGGAAAAGGGGGGAGGAAAGAAGGAGGGGAGAAGGAAGGAGGAAGGGAAGGGAAGATGGAGGAGGGCAGAGGATAACATTCAGTGTCATCCTCAGGAATGCCATCCATCCACGTGTTTGGAGACAGCGTCTCTCATTGGCCAGCAAGCTCCAGAGATCTACTTGTTTACCCCTCTTTAGCACAGGGAGTGAAAGTATTCATCATCATGACTGGAATTTTTATGTGATTTCTGGGGATGGAATTTACAGCTAGAAGGCATGGCTTTTACTAACCTAGCTTTCTCTCTCAACCATCAAATAAATGAAATTAATACTCTCACCAGTGCTTCTCAAACCTGCCAAAATGTTCACCCTTCAAACCATACTTCTAGTTCAGCTGGCTGCCTCTCCACAGCTCTGTGATGCAGTGGGCCTTCCAAGTACTGTTATAAGGCCTATGTCACTTCTATTACATAGTATGGGGATGAAATAATATTGTCCCACCTTGTTTCACATGCCAAAAGCTATTAAAATACCCCACAAGGTTTACACTTAAGTGGGAAATACTCATTAGTGATGTTGAGTACTAATGAACTACTTCAAATATTTCAATCTTTTATAGTAGGCCACTCTATGCTTGAATCTCCTTTCTTCTTGCAAGGTACCAAGTTTCTTTTGTTCATTAACATTTTAGCCTTCAAAGCCTAGCAATTCATTGATAATCTTTCCTGTGTAGTTGCTTTGGAGCAACATTGTAGATTCTGTTTGCTTTTTCCTGTGCTTGCTGGAATAAGTGCCACAGAGAACAATGGGAGCTGAATTGTTAAAATAGTTGTGTGTGTGTATGTGTGTGTGTGTGTGTGTGTGTATGTATGTATGTATGTGCATGTATTATTGTCTTAAAGATATAATTTTAAGATAAAATGTATTATGAGCTTGTCAGTAAATATTGTGAAGAAAAAAATAATTCTTAAAAGGCTTGTTCCTACATACTACGTAAATGATAAAAAAATTTCTGAAACTCCAACATAGCAAGCTCCATTTGCTCAGCGATGAGGTACTTGCACGCTGTTCTCCATGGCCTTTTGGTGTACAAAGAATTTTAAAAGAAAACTACTTCTAAGGTATTAATTTGACATTAAAATTTGCTTATTTAAAATAACTACTGAACTTAAAAAAAAATTTGAATTGTAAACACTCAAGGATAAGCCAGTTTTAGGATCACATTAGTGTGTCACAGTAACAGAAATGTGAATCACATTTTACTTGTGGATTCAGGTTCTCTTATAATCTGAACACTGAGTTACTTACACTCTTGACAGAAGTCATTGGGAAAATCCAAATCTTCATTTCTAGCACAAAGGTGCCAGGAAATGAAATACTATCAGGAAATCACACACAGTCAGCTAGCTGCTTTTGTTTTGGTTAACCAGGTAGTTTAAAAATTATTATCCTACTAGCAAAGTCTTCACATTTTAGAAGAAGAACTAGAGGATTTATTGAGGTATACTTTGTGGTAAGTTCTGTAGCTTTCACTGTAGCCCCAGAACTAACCATGGCATTGAGGATGGATAGGTATAAATCACACTTTTTTTAATCAGGTAGCAGTTACCATAGGTGTTCAAATATCTCCTATTTTGGCATCTATAAAATATTTGGATATGAACTGGCATGGATTTAACTATTTGCAGACTTTGATATACAATGAATGTTATATTTTTCTAAAATGTCTAATTTATAATACCTGAAACAAATGACTCTAAATTTGAGATTATCACCTTGACTACCTTAATCTGAGTTTATAGTAATAAAAATTTGAAAATACAATTTTTAACCATCAAGGTTCCTTTCATTTTGATACATTGCTCTGTTTAATAGTTGGAAGGGCATTTTACATAGTTTAATGTAGAAGTGGAAAAATACTTAATGCTGTTTGATGATCACAGTGTTGGCTACATAATAGAATTTAGAACTCAGCCAATTTTGGAGACAGAATTTGACGCCTACTTTGAAGTATTAAAAAATACTTTCTACAGTACATGTGTATTGGAGTTCAGTCCTGTATTCAAGCTAGTAAAGATATTGTTTGGTACTTTGTATAAACAGCTATTGCACATATTTGGGGCTGCTGGGGGTGGGGGGGAGTACCAAGCATCTGAGGTTTTCTTTTTATATGTAGAAAACCTGTTAAACAAGGGACAGGAAAAATTCACAACTGGTCTCCAGCTGTGGATTTATTATGAAAAAGAATTAGATGGCATATCACTCTTGATGCCTGTAATTATCTTTTTGAATGCAGGTTGTTCAACCTTAGTCTGGGTTATAAAAGCCATTATTTTTTTCATCTAATAATCTAACCTTTGCTTGGAAAATTAATGGACATATTTTTTTTTTCTTTTGGAAAACTTATTTAGGGCCAAGTTTTTTGAAAGCCACTGATAAAGTAATTTATAGCAGGTTTCTTTACTCCATGTTGTAAATCTGAATACAGATAGTATCCAAAGTGTCCTAAGAGAAATGTATGAATTCACAGTAACAAAAGTTACAGAGGTTGTGCAAAACATATTGTACACCACTGGAGTACATAGAGCTTGCTATAGTTAATTTTATTTATAAAGCTGGATTTCTCAGCTATTCTGTGCTACATTAAAAGTTTTTGATTAAACTGTTCTCTAATGATAAAACTCAAACGTTAAGATGCAATGGCATTGATATAAATGTATTCGATATAAATGTTGTAAATCACTGGAACCTTTTAAACAGCATAATTTCTTTTGAGCTCTTCAAGTTTTCCAAGGGTCATAAAGTAAACCCGGCTGTGGCGATTGTTCAGTATAGAAGCAAAAAACAGCTTTAAAAAAATAATAAGAGAAAATCATCATTAGTGAGTTTCTTTTTTTATTCAGTTTTTTTGTTTTTAATTTTTTAAAATAATTTTTTATATTAATCACAGGTTATATACTTTGTATCCCAGCCATAACCCCCTCCCTTATTCCCTTCCAATCTCACCCTCCTTCATTCATCCCCTCCCTGCCCCTCTCTAAGTCCACTGATAGGGGAGGTCCTCCTCTCCTTCCATCTGACCCTAGCTTATCAGGTCTCCTCAGGACTGGCTACAATGTCCTCCTCTGTCCTAGCAAGGGTGCTCCTCCCTCAGGGCCAGGAGAGGAGTAAAGGAGCCAGTCATTGAGTTCATGTCAGAAATAGTTCCTGTTCCCCTTACTAGGAAACCCACTTGAATACTGAACTACCATGGGCTACATATGATTGGGGGTTATAAGTTATATCCATACATGGTCCTTGGTTGGAGAAACAGTTTGTTAAAAGACCCCTGCGCCCACCAGATATATTTACTCCTTGTGGCCCTCAGTGGTAGGCTCCTATCTTGTTATTTGTTTTCTCCTACTTCCAATGTCCATCCCATTTGCATTTCTGAGTGAGGATTGATCATCTTACTCAGGGTCCTCTATCTTGTTTATCTACTTTAGGTGAACAGATTTTAGTATGTTTATCCTATCTTATACGTCTAGTACTCACTTATAAGTGAATATATGCTGTGTGTGTGTCTTTCTTGCCCTGGGATGCCTCACTCAGGATGATCTTTTCTAGACCTGACCATTTGCCTGCAAATGTCATGATTTCCTTGTTTTTAATTGCTGAGTAGTGTTCCATTGTATAAAAGTACCACATGATTTCTGTATCCATTCCTCCGTTGATAGACATCTGTTTTTTTTTTTTTTTTTTTTTTTTTTCAGGTTTTGGCTATTACGAATAAAGCTACTACGAACATGGTTGAGCAAATGTCCTTGTTGTGTACTTGAGCCTACTTTGGATATATACCTAGGAGAGGTCTAGGCCCCCTGCTAAAGTTTAGCCCATAGGCAGCTCCGTCTCCATGTAGGATTCCCTAGTAAGGGGACCAGGGCCTGTCTCTTATGTGGACTCTTTTGCCTGCTTCTTGATCACTTCCCCCTGCTGGGGTGGCCTTGCCAGAAGAAGACGATTCAGGAAGTACTAATGAGATGTGATAGTCTGGGGTCATATGTGATAGTTGGGGTCAGAAAGGAAGAAGGCTCCCCCTTTCTGAGGATTGGGGGAGGGAAATGGGGAAAAGAGGGAGGGACAGGGACCAGGATGAAATGAGGGAGGGGGCTATGATTGGAATGTAAAAAAGATAAATTAAAATTTAATAAAACTATATGAGAAAGAAAGAAAAGCAAGTAAGCAAGCAAAAAAAAAGTTAAAAAAACAACATATCAAGTAATCCAATTTAATAAAATGGGGTACAGAGCTAAACAGAATTCTCAATAGTGAAATGTTCAATGACAGAGAAACACTTAAAGAAATGCTCAGTGTCCTTAGTTATCAGGGAAATGCAAATCAAAACAACCCTGAGATTTCACCTTACACCCATCAGAATGGCTAAGATAAAAAAAACTCAAGTGACAATGCATGCTGGAAAGGATGTGGAGAAAGAGAAACTCTCCTCCATTGCTGGTGGGAATGTAAACTTGTACAACCATTTTGGAAATCAATCTGGTGCATTCTCACACAATTAGGAATAGAGCTTCCTCAAGATCCAGCTACACCACTCCTTGGCATATATCCAAAATATGCTCAACTATGCAACAGGGACATTTTTTTCATCCATGTTCGTAGCAGCTTTATTTGTAATTGCTAGAATCTGGAAACAACCCAGATGTCCCTCAACAGAGGAATGGATACAGAAATTGTGGTACATTTACACAATAGAGTACTACTTAGCAATTAAAAACAAGGCAATCATGAAATTTGCAGGCAAATGGTGGAAACTAGAAGAGATCAGCCTGAGTGAGGTATCCCAGAAGCAGAAAGACACACATTGTATATACTCACTTATAAGTAGATATTAGAAATATACGATAAACATACTAAAATTTCTACACCTTAAGAAGCTAAGCAAGATGGAGGACCCTGGGTGAAAGAATCAATCCTTATTCAGAAAAGCACACAGGACAGACATCAGAAGAGGGAGAAAACAGGGAACAGGACAGGAGCCTACCACAGAGGTCTCCTGAAAGACCCTACCCAGCAGGGTATCAAAGCAGATGCTGAGGCTCATAGAAAAACTTTGGGCAGAGTGCAGGGAATCTTATGAAAGAAGTAGAAGATAGAAAGATCTGGAGGGGACAGGAGCTCCACAAGGAGAGTGACAGAACCAAAATATCTGGGGCAAGTGGTCTTTTTGAGACTGGTGCTCTAAAGAAAGACCATGTATGGAGATTATCAGTGAGTTTCTAATCAATTTAAACTCAATAATCAATAAACAAAATTGTTAAGTTCCAGAATGTAATTATAATTTTCTGAAATTAAATTATTAAACCATTTTGAACAACTTTTCTTTATTTTAAGAAACGTAAATTTAATTAATCTGGAATTTAAATTACTTATTTCAAATCTGTACTATAGTCCATATTGTTATAATTTATATAGTTTATTATTTTGGCTTTGTGTTCACTTTGAAAATTTATTCTTGGAGATCTTGATAAATCTGCACAACGAATTATGATCACATGGTTACTTCTCCTTCAATTACCTCTGGACCCTCTCAACATGTTTCTTCCCATACTCCCGTCTTCTTTTTAAAACTTATAACCTGCTCGGTCCAGTCAGTGTTGACCATACATGAACAAATGTGAGGCTACCCACTGGAACTACCAGTGGCCACTCCCTGCAGTCCACCAAAGACTAATGACTTTTCTTTCCTTATCAGGCACCAGCTCCCATAGAACTATTGTAGATGACGTTCATCTGCCTAAGCTCCTTATTAGTCTTGGTTAACAATACCTTCTTTTAGCTGAGACAGCTTCTAAAATAGCAACATAGAGCCTAACATATAATTATATATTCAACAAAAGTAAGTAATTTTTCTTTCTTTTGTTCTTGGAATATGCTGAAAGATAGAACTGGAAGATTTACAAAAAGCAAAGAAATGCTGGTAAGGAGATGGCAGAAAAGCAGTCCTCATACACTCTTGGTGTGAGTGTAAATTATTATAGCCATTGTGAAAAGTACAATGAGTGAAAATTCCTCAAAAAAAAAAAACCCCTAAAAAAACTCCCCACATGATCAGGCTCTCACATATTAGTATATGTCTACCACAGACATTTATATACCTACAGTTATTAGAGCATTATCCACAATAACTTTGGAGTCAGCTAGACACCTGTCTACAAAGTAATGGATAAAAATAATGAAACTGTTCATTTTCAGCATATGAGAACTAGAGAATTTACATTAAGTGCAATAAGCTTAAAAACTAAATTTGATGCTTTCTTTCATATATTAAAGCTAAGAAATCAATCTTGAGGTTAGGAGTGAGGCAAATAAAGAGAACATAGATCTGATTAGTGCACACAGAAGGCACACACTAAAATATCACAATGAGTGTCATCAATATGTGATTAAATTATGGTAATACATAAATCATTCTAAAAGGCAGATTTGCTCTCATATTTTTTGCTTAAATTTCTTGGTATGAAAATGAAAAGGATCGTGGATAAAAAATAATGAAAGAGTTCATGCCAAATAAAATATCAGAGATTAACTAGGATATAACTAGAGATTTTGTTTTTTTACTTTGATAATAGGTTCTGTTGAAACAAAATTACTAACTCTGTTTTACTGCATAAAAAGAAGAAACTTTATTTTTTTCAAGACAGAGTTTCTCTGTGTAGCCTTGACTGTACTGGACTCATTTTGTCGATCAGGCTGGCCTCTAACTCACAGAGATCTGTCTGCCTTTGCAAGTGCTGGAATTACAGGTGTGTGCCAATATGCCCTGTGGAAAATTGCTTTTGTTAACAGTGTGCCTATTATTCCTTGATTAATTTTAATGCTTAGTTTGTTTTTTCTTTTTCTTTTCTTTTCTTTTTTTTTTCTCTCTACTGAAGGGTGTAGATTATACCTTGTCACCACGGCCACACAGAAATCGCAGTTTCTTGATTGACCTGCGCTTCAGCTCATTTTCAAGAATACTTGACTGCAGAGAGCGCACTTCGATAGCCTTTTGGTCCCATCCAGTGATTCTCTGTGTGCACTCAAAAGCTACAATACAAATGGAAAGTTTAAAAGAACAGTTATTTTTGTAGCTTAGATATAAAAACATAACCAGAGTTAAATATTACGAAGCTCATAGTTGTAGATTAGGTTATACGCATTTGTTTTTTTTACCTTATTCTGAGGTCTACCATTTTAGAGATTTTGCTGCATAGGCCTGGTGTTCTACAGATTCCACAGTGATCAACACTGACTTTCTATATCTTTGTTAATGTTTGTATTTGTATACTGTAAGACTACAGAAAAACCCAAGAGTTAATGACTCTATAGATATTCAGATCAATCCATGGCTTAAAAAATTTTCATACTGTAGGTGAGATACAATATCACACCAGATACAAATTGAAGTTTCTGAATAAAGAGCTGGCTTTTCAACAAAAATTAAAACTGTTATATAATGTCATTCAAATAATGATGTTAGTAACCCAAATTTAATTGAATAAATTTTCCTGTTGTAAGCAGAACTGAGTGTAATTTTATACACTTAAGGCTTTTTCCTGCTAGGAAAAATTGTATGTCATTTTAAACTTTTTATATTTGTTTTATAATCCACTGTGACAATATCATTTTTAAATATACCACCTGAAAGCAGAACTGTAATTATAAAAAGTCCATATACTCAGTTGATTCAGTGAAGTATTTTATAGCTTAAGAAACAACATTATTAACTGTTTCACTTTTAAGTTTTTATTCTTTATGACGTTTACAGGGAAGAAAATTTCCATACATAAATTAAATTGTAACATTTTTATTTTATTTTGCTTTTCTTTTTTTCTTCTTTCTTTTTTATATTAATTACAGTTTATTCTCTTTGTATTCCAGCTGTAGTCCCCTCCTTCATTCCCTCCCAATCTCACCCTCCCTCCCTCATCTCCTCCCATGTCCCTCTCCAAGTCCACTGATAGGGGAGGTCCTCCTCCTCTTCCATCTGACCCTAGCCTATTAGGTCTCATCAGGACTGGCTGCATTATTTTCCTTCGTGGCCTGGAAAGGCTACTCCCCCCTCAGGGGGAGGTGATCAAAGAGCCAGCCACTGAGTTCATGTCAGAAAAGTCCCTTTTCCCCTTAGTAGGGAACCCACTTGGATACTGAGTTGCCATGAGCTACATCTGTACAGGGGTTCTAGGATATCTCCATGAATTGTCCTTGGTTGGAGTAACTAACAAATGTACAGTGTGAGCAATGTTGTGCCTGTTTTTTTTATTACAATTCAAATTACTTGTATAAATTTGATTTTGAGATTGTAATTAAATTACTATCACATTTTGACTAAGAAAAAAGCTGTTCTTAAATTTTGTTATTGGCTATAGAGAGAGATGGAGGGGACAGAAATAGAACAAGGAGACCAAAAAAAAAAAAAAAAACTAAAAGATCTGATACCAGGGCATCCTGCAGAGACTGATGCACCAATGGAGGACCATTCATGGAGAGGACCTAGCCCCCCTGCTCAGATGTTGCCATTGGCAGCTCTGTCTCTATGGGGATCTCTGAGTGAGGGGAGCAGGGGCAGCCTCTATCATGAACTCAGTTGAGTGCTCTCTGATCACTTGCTCCTGATGATGCAGCCTTGCCAGGCCATGAAGGAAGAGGATCCAGGCAGTCCTGATGAGACTTGAAAAGCTATGAGCAGATGGCAATAATGGAGAACTCCACCTTTTAGTGGATTACAAGAATGGGATGAGGGGAAGAGGGAGGGAGAATGGGACTGGGAGAGTTGAGGGAGGGGGCTTCAATCAGGGTAAATAATGAAGAAATTGTGAAGAAAAATAATAAAAATTAAACATAATTTTGTTAGTGTAAATTCAAGCCAGAATTAAATGTTCCACAAGAAATATGAAGAACCAGTGACGTGAGTTACAGAAACTAGTAACAGATTTAACTTATATGAATTTGAATATTTTTACTCCTGTGACTACTATATTAAAATAGCATTATTTTCAACAGCCACACAGAGTAAAGGTTTCTAATTTAACACAGTCTGACTACTGAGTTCATTTTCACAGATCTGCCACTTAACATAGAAAATTATGAAACTAGTTTACTTTCTGAAATGGTACTCTGAAATCTGGAAGTAGAGATTTTTGGGAAAACTTTCTGCAATTCTTAAATTTCTATACATTTGTTTTGTCTTTGTTATTGAAAAACATCATAGTAAAAGAAATGTAAATTTTAGTTTAGGAAAATGTAGTTTTAAGCTGTTTGCAAACAGCAAGTTGTTTTGAAATTGAAAACAGATTGAACTGTTTCCTTCATTATCAGTGTTATATTCTCAGTATGCACTAAACAAACCAAAAATATCATATATTTGTAGTGCTGATTTATTTTATATATGCATGCCATTCAAATTCTACCAACTGAAAATAGCTTTTTGATTTAGGTTAGAAATCTTCTTGCCCGAGGACAAGTGATATTGTAAACAACTTTGAAGATGCCTTTTAAACCTACTATGATCATCTAGCAGGTTGAATATTAGGGTTCTGCTCAGTTTCCCATTTGAACTTAGCTACCTGATTTTCAATTTCGGTTCATGTATTTTTGAGTTTCTGGGGCTGGATCTCTGTGCTTTGCACATTCTAGGCAGGTATTCTTTCAATAGGCTGCAGCATTAGTTCCTACTTGACACATTGTTCCCAAAAGTACCACAACAAAAGATGGAATGAACATGACTCATTGCCTTTACTTTCTTTTGCCCTAGAGTCATCAATTTGTACTACAAACATTTAGCGTGTCACTTATAATGGTTTTCAACCCTCTGTGAATTCTTACCCTTTTGAAGAAATTAGAGCAGGTTTTCAGGACAATCCTTAACATTGACTATGTATAAAAAAGTTAAAGGATTCTGCAGATGCAATGCAAAAATCTATCACCCCGTATAAAAGTTGTCCAAAAAGGAGTTCATTTAAATTGGTCATTTAGACAATGTGGTGTCGCTTATACCGACTTTACAGATATTTTAGAGGATTATAACCTCTGGACAAACAGCTTTTCTTTCCCTTTATCTTTTTTATATAATCCACTCTGTGTCTCTAAACACACACACACACACACACACACACACAGACACACATGCACAGACACGCATGCACACACACACACACACTTCCACAGAGAGAGCTGTCATTCATCTTATCATTCTACCCTCTCTAATACTTTAACTGTTTTTATGTATCCTATCCTGTTCTCTAGTAACCAAATGGTCAAACAGCTTTTCCTTTTTTTATAACTCATTCTGTCTCTGCAAACACACACAGACACACATGTACAAACACACAGACACACACACTCACAGAGCTGTCATTCATCTTATCTTTCTACCCTCTGTCCTTGCTAATATCTTAACTATATTCTGTCCTGTAGTCCCCAAACCTTTGGAACATACAAAAGAATCTCAATTTAGTTATTTTAATTTGCCAGACCAACACTCCTGCTCTGTTCAGGGAGAAAAAGTGCTTTATTTTGAAAAAGCAGAATTCTCCATGTTGCCTGAGTTGTAGATATTTCAGCCAGTTCTATCTGTCTTTTATATAAAGACTTCACACAGATACTACTCTGTAAACAGAACGCTGAAGACGAAACAAAATAGAAGCATTTTCTTTAAATGTGTAAGACTTTAAATAAAGACTTGTTGCTTTAAGAATAAAAACGATTCAGGAAACCTTATTTAGGACATATTTTCATCCTGTTAAAGCTACTCTGGATCATCTGTGAGAAAAAGAAATTTTGTACATACCTACAGATGATGGTATGTCTTTCCACACGTCAAGGATCTTCCTCAAGAGTTGTTCATTTGCTTCCTCAGAAGCAGTTTCAGCATTGAAGGTGAGCATCACGCCAATTCCCAAGCGATCAGGTAAAATGACGAGATTCTGTGATATAATGATTTCAAGGGACTGAGATTATGTTTCTTAAAGATTTTTGTGTCAAGCATTTAATCACTATTATGTTAACTGAGACAAATATTACTTTCATTGAAGACCAAACGATGTTCAAAGTGCATGGAGGAAAGTAACATCTGTTTCTAAATTCAATAGAATGAAATAAACTGAACAGTTGAGAAGATTTCCTTTATGTTACACAGCCATCAGTTTTAAAATTCTCTTTTTTATTTAGGATAATTATTTGGGGGGGGGGATAAAGATGTTTCTCTAACACAGAGAAATTTCTTGAAATGCCACAGAGAGAATTGTGTATTGCCATAAGAAAATAATACAGTCCTGAATTTAACATTTATTTAAAAAATTAAGCAAGATTTTTATAATGAATGTGTGATCCAAGTAATAAATCATATACATAATTCTCAGTCACCAGAAAATTTATGAAAGAAGGAAAATAAACTTTAAATAGCTTGAGAGTAATATGTTTTAAGGAGCAGCTTTTAATCTTGTTCATAATTTATTTTCTTATTTGTCCCCTTTTCAAGAAAATGTAGAATTTCTCATCCAATTCACATGTTAAAATAGTCTTGATATGCAAATTCAGAAGTATTTGTCGACAGAATAAAGAAATATTAAGAGATAACTAAGTATTTGTAAATGTCCAGATTCATAAATGGAACAAAACCTGCTTAGAACACAGATATTATGGACATTGACAATATTTCTCTGAGAAATAATAAAATGTGTTCTTCCGCTATTTCTCCCAATTAGCAAGTTACAGGGGGTCGAGGAGAAGGTCAGAAACTATACTTGCCAAAGCCAGCGTATTCAGGCCAAGTGCTTGAGGCCATGTCTCAGCAACAACAATCCTCAAAACTAAAATGGGAATCCAGAGGTGAAACGCAATTTTAATGCGTTCCCTGGGTACTTGCATGAGCAGTTAAATCAAAAAACAGATAAGAATGAAAAAAATGCAAGAAATAATATTTTCTTAAGAAAATCTGTTTGGAATAACCCAGGACTGCTGCAAATCCAGACAGTCTCTGAGGCAATCCCCTTGCTTTCTTAGATGATTTCTGAAGCAACTGGACACTTTTCAGCATGTATAACTCTTCTGCCCCATTAAAGTCTTTGCAATCTAGCCCTTCTGAGAGAATATTATTTTTAGGACATTCTCTTTTGGTTGACACCCTCCACTCCCTTATATTAGAGTCCCCTATTTTAGTGGGTCAAGACACTAGATAATTTGTCTAAAAATATATATGAGGTATCCTAATTAGGTCAGAAAATGATTTGTAACATCTTTTCACATTCTTGGTTCTATAGTTAATTAACTGATTGTTTCTAAATACAAATAAATTCCTTGCTTAATGTTTAGATTTAAACCTCTTCAATGATTTTATTTTTCAAGACAGTGGCTCATATATCCCAGGCTGGCCGCGAATTCGCTAAATAGCCATAATTCTCTGAAACTTCTTGCCTACAGTTCCAAAGTTCTGGGATTACATGAGTACACTAATATGCCTGGGTTTTTTCCATAAATGTAAACTTAAACAAACATTCAAATATTTCTTATTTCACTGACTTCTGAGTGAAGGGATTTCTGTTATGATAAAATACAAGATGGAGAAAACTACAGAGACAACTGAAGAATAATACAGTTGCATAAACTTTTGTGGTTGTGACTGAGATTGTGTTTAATATTTTCACAGGACAAAAAAGGTAAATTATCAATATAGGCAACTACTTGGTCATTAGCTAATGATTGCTGCCTCACAAAATTCCTTTAGATATGTCTTCACCAATGTTTCAGAGATTGTTTTATGTAATTAAAAATTGATTTTATTAGGGACACAGATTATATTACTAAGGAATGGTCAAAACTTCACTCAAATGGGGTGATTTAAAGTACATAAATGTTTTGTTCAGGGATTTTATATAATGATAAGCTGCTAAAATTTTAATATTCAACAAACTCAATATCAAGAAAAGATAAAGCATAATACTGGTGGTAAAGGCATTCCTTTTAAATATAACTTCAACAGGAAAACTTTCATTTCTCCCACTAATATCTTGTTTGATGCATTTGGTGGGGTATGATATTATGATCAAGCTCTTTATATTTATGATGTACAACCATTTACAATACAGATCTTCGGTCTTATTTATAGATTAAAAATTGTGACAACAATTTTTAAAAATACTGAAAGTTTTCATCAGAAAGTCTGAAATATAGTAAATGAATTTTAAGATAACTTTCTCCCACTGAAGGGGGTACAGCTTTACCAGTCCACAAAGGAAGACAATGCAGCCAGTCCTGAAGAGATCTGATAGACTAGGGTCAGATGGAGGGGGAGGAGGACCTCCCCTATCAATGGACTTGGAAAGGGGCAGGGAGGAGATGAGGGAGGGAGGGTGGAGTTGGGAGGAAATGAGGGAGGGGGCTACAGCTGGGATACAAAGTGAATAAATGCAATTAAAATAAAAAGGACAAATTTTAAAAAGAAAGAAAAAGATAATTTGCTATATTCTGTAGCTAATGAAATAAAGAAGGGAGTACACATAATCATGTAATACTGTTATTGATTTCTTAACAAACTATATCAGTATATTAAGGGCATAGAAATATTAAACCCTATTGAAAAATATCCTAGAGGCAATTAGTATAAAAGTGCAAAGATGAATGGTTAGTGAATGTAGAACACAAAGCCATTAAAAGGAGGCAGACCTCAATTAGTTCCAGTTGATAGTGGCCAGATGGTGGTGTGGACCTGATATTATCAGATTTGGTTAATCACCAAATTAACTCTGGGTTTTAAATGTTACATGCATTCATTAACAACAAAATTATAATGGCCAAATAAAATCTGTCTGCAGATAGCATTTATATATCTGGATTATGAAATAATTAGTGATTTTTACTTATGCATCCACACTTTCTTCCATACTAATCTTCCATATTAGATCTCTATTGCAGTATTAGTTATACTTTAAATTATGGAGAATTTTGATAGAAAAATTCAAAGTGTTTTACAATAACTTCTAAGGATTTGAAGTTATTATCTTACGTTATTTGGCAAGGCCACATCAGACATAACTTCAGATTCTGCATCAATGATATGATATCCATTAGCTGAGCTGAAGAAAATCTTCAGTGTTTTCTCAGATCCAACAGCCAGGTCAACTGTCACTGGCTTAAGATCAAGAGTTGGAAACACCTGAAAGTAGAAAAGTAAATATGGCCAAAAGGCCAAAATGACATTCTGACTAAGGTAAATATTTTCCTATTCTTTTGCTATATTTATAAGTCTATAAAACTAAGATGGCTTGTTTATGATTGATAGAATGATTTATGAAACTGGGGATTGAATCTAGGGCTTCATACAACCTACAATGAGCAAATTGTTCTGACCCTCAGAACCACATGGCCTTGTTCTCTCATTAGCTGCCCTCAAAGTCTTGCCTTGAGCTTCAGCAAATGAAGGAGCTCATCTGGTCTCTTAAACCGGTTCGCTGGATCAGCTGCCTGTATTTTTGCCAATATTCGTATGTAAGCTTCATAGGACATGTAGTCTCCTTTGGAGTCTGCTGACTGATCAATGCATACTTGGTAAGGAATGAAAAAGGCCATATATATTAACCTAGGATGGACAGACTATACGCTAAAACTCCTGTGGTTTATAGTCCATGAAAACAAAAGAGCAAACAGGAGTCATTGTTGAGATTGGATTATGTGAAGGAGTGAGCATCATAGGATTCGTAATAATGTGGTCATGAGGTGGGCATCAAAAATTGAATGAGGATTTGGACAGGAACTGGTTAAATGTGCTGTTGGTACTTATTTCTTTGTTTTCCAGTTCCATACCAGGTAGCGCTGACAAGTCAGCAGACACCCAAGAATTAAGACATATCCAAATGTTGACAGCTGAGCCAAGACCCAATTTAGTCAGATCAGATCTGGAATTCTATACATGTCATGGTAGACTGATTGTTTGTATAGAAGTCTATCTGTAAAATGGTATACTGTGCAAATAGTGTAACTAGTTCTTGTAGAGTAGCCATATGCATTATACCATGATCAATGTATATAGGTGATGTTTGGGCCCCAAAATTAGAACATGTAAACAGATCCAGATGTAAGATAAAAATGTATCTCAAGAATATCTTTATTAACTATACCAAGATGTGGTCCTATCAGTGCTTTGTGAAATCTGTATGTGGGCCAAGTAGTTTAGTATCATGGAAAACATTTGTTAAAATCAGATTTTCAGGCCCTACTTCAGACACAATAACTCAGCCTGGAGTTGGGTCTGAGATCTAAACATTTAACAAAATGTTCCCACTGATTCTGATGCACATCATAGGCAAGACAAAAAGGCTGCTTGGCTTTTCTAAAAATCTATCTTATTTAAATAGAACTTTGGAACATTATATGTAATTTATCTATAGTCCTCAGTTCATGGGGAAGAAGTAAAAACAGCAGCAATTTGTTTGGGCCACTGGATGGTTAGTCTCCATAGCTGAGCTATACAAGTTCCATTCTGTTCCACTGTAAGATGTAAAGGGCACTGGTGGACCTACCCACTATGTTCCAGAGCAGCTCTACAGAGATATGTGTTTTACACTGGAAGAAATATAAACGATTATTTCCTTCCCTCACCCACCTATTGTTGCAATGATAGTTGAAGCAATGCTTTTCTCTTCCCACTTCCAATGTGGCTTCCTTAGTATCTCCATATCTTTTCTTACCTTCCCTCTGCTATCCACCCCCCACTAAAAGAAAGCCAGGACTTTCCCAGCTTCGGGTCATTGAGGTGACACTTGAAGCCTGTGTTTGGGCCTCTAGAAGAGAAGATCTTCATGTTGACTACAGGAAATGGGAGTGAGGAGTTGGTGGGGATGTCCTGTAAGGGGAGGGGCTGGGGACTTCCCTCAAATTCTCCCTTGCTGTGGCGCCTGTGGATTGTCTAAAAAGGGTTAAATGATAATTATTGACATGATATATTCAAATTGCAATAACTGTAGCCCCATGTTATATATTTCCATATTTATACTTCAAACTACTATTTCATTTATAATGTCTTAAGAAAAAATTGTGTGATGCAAATGAAGTGGTCACTCACTTTAATAGCAGTGCTTTCATCAAAGGACTTTGGTGCCCATGCATAAAGGTGAATTGATGATTTCAAAGCAACTGCAATATATGTTGTTTCTTCGTGTTGAACTATAATGGCAACATGCAAAACGTTATACCTCAGAATTAATAAGAGCAATCAGGTGTTTATATTTCACCTACATTACCAATTCTGCTTGAAGGGTCAATTGCTTCAGAGTAAAAGGAAACTGAGAGTAGAAGGGTTTTGATTCAGAGATGCAATACAATGGGACAACATTACTTCATACTTGTTGACAGATGAGAACAGAATTAGTAGGCCAAAGTTGATTATTACTGTATTTACAGAGATATACATGGAGAGATATAAAAACATAATATATGTTATAGGATATAAAAACATAATATAATGAGACATTAGGAGCAACAGTCTACAGATCACAGATAAACTCTAGGATTCATCATAAAGTTTCCTGGTCAATACTGAATGGATTATTTTATTGTTATTCAAAGGAAAGGAAATATCATATACATCACTGTAAGTAGCTCAAGATACATCAAGAACATTTATAGTGAGGAAAAAATACTTTCAAATATTAAGAGTGACCAGGAAAGAAAGAAAGAAGAAAGAAGACGTAACCAAATTTAACTCTAACAGCTATTTTATACAGTAGGTATGATTATATAGAAACAGCCTGGGAGACGCCTCAATGACATTAACTCATATTTTCACTCAAAATTGCAAATTCTTTGTCTTTTGCATTATGGATCTCTCCACATGAAGGGAAGCAGAAGCTATATAGCAGTATTAAATGTGAAATGGACGTACGGACACTGAAGTGCTCACAGCCAGTCAACTTATCAATAGCTTTACAGGTTTCCTCAGTCTTCAGCATTTCTTTCTGCCTTTTCTTACTTTCTGGATCATTATTCAGAATCTTGTTCCTCAGCCAAGTCAAATGATACACACGAAGTCTGTTCTTGTGTCCTGGTAGAAAAACATGCTGTCATTTCAATTCTTTCCCTTTATTCTCTAGAAATTCAAAGAAGTGGGGCTGCACTACAACTGAAACCAAATATTTGTTAAATAAAAGTCACTTTAAAAACTAATATGATATTAGACTCTTCTGTCTCCATTCCAAGAGATAATTAATTGAGTCCTATACTAGCTGCCTCTGTGTTTTTCCAAAGTGGATTTAAAATACTCCACTACAATATGTTAAGACTGTCTACAGGAAGCCAACCCAATTACTATTATTATTTTAAAGCCTTTATTTTTATATATTTATGATGTATAAATGGTATTTTATTCATGTCGACATTGGGAAATGGGCAAATTCATTACCTTAATTTTAAAATTTTCTTTATGGTGAGTAAATTAAAATTCCTCTCCTGTAACCATTTTGTGACACATAATGC